TTTCACTTGCTTAATAAAATTTTCATCTTCTCTAAGAAAACCCACCTTACAATCCACCTTCCATCTGTCTACTAATTGCCTGTATTGAAACCAAGAATAAATAATATTTTCTTGTGCTAACTCTTCCCGTGATTTTAACTGCCAATTTTGTCCATCCCATCTGAGTAGCTGTCTGTAAGACACCATGTCCATTTTAACACCTCTTTTTATTCCTTCTATCGCATGCCAAGGTATAGCCCATAATGGTACTTTAAAATCACCTTTATAATATTTTCTCCAAATCCTAAGTAAGGAAATTCTTATAATGTGAGATTTGAAAGCCCAATCCACTTTTTTATTGAATATTAAATAGGCATGCCACCCCAAAAGTAAATCCCATCCCTCTAGATGGAGTATCTCAAGATTTGTCAAATTTACCCAGTCACTAATTAGTGTTAAAACCACCGCATCATAGTATAATTTCAAATTCGGTACCTTGAGTCCACCTCTCTCACGGAAGTCTTGCATGATTTTAAACTTAACCCTTGGCTTTTTCCCTGCCCAAATGAATTTATTGACGCCTTTCTGCCATTCACTTAAATTAATCTCATTCTTCAAAATCGGTAACATTTGGAACAAAAAAAGAAACTTGGGTAGAATATTCATTTTTATCACTGCAATTCTTCCCATGAGAGATAATTGCAACTTCTCCCAATTCTTCAAGTCCTTCTGTACACTAGCCCACAACCTTTCATAGTTATTTTTAAATAATTTTGCATTAGAAACAGATAACATCACCCCCAAGTATTTTACCTTATTAACAATTTCAAAACCCGTCAAGTTAACCAGAGTCTGCTTCTCCTGAATAGTCATATTTTTAGGTAGGATTTTAGTCTTATTAACATTAATCTTAAAACCCGAAACCAAACCATAATAATGGATCAACTGTAATAGCTTTACTACAGAATGGGTAGGTTGCGACAAAGTAATCACCAAGTCGTCCGCAAAAGCTCTTAACTTGTATTCTTTTTTGTTAACTTCTATTCCTTTAATTTCCTGCGACTCTCAAATTTTGATCAACAGTATTTCCAGTGTTAGAACAAACAACAACGGTGATAATGGACATCCCTGCCTAGTACCTTTCTCTATTGTAAAAACCTCTGACAAACCTCCATTGACAATAAGTTGTGCCGTTTGTTTTTGATATATTACCGTAAGAGCTTGTAATATCTTTTTACCAAAATTCATCTCTTCAATTACTCTTAACATAAAATGCCAATTCAGTTGATCAAAGGCTTTTTCAGCATCTAAAAATATCAGCCCTGCGGGGACTTGGTTGTTCTTGTCTAAATATTCTAATAAATTAATGATTTGTCTAACATTGTTTTTCATGTACCTACCAGTTATAAACCCAGATTGGTCTTTATGCACAAGATGATGCACAACCCTCATAAGCCTATTTGCTAGGATTTTAACAAATATCTTATAGTCAACATTTAAAAGAGATATAGGTCTATAATTCTTTGGTAAAGTAAGATCTTGATCCTCCTTTGGAATCAAAGATATGAAAGCACTACGCCATGAAGGAGGAATCTCTGAGCCCTGTAAGATATCATTAAAAAGATCACCTAATGGTTGGATCATCTCCTCCATTAAAGCTTTATAATAAACAGCTGTCAGCCCATCCGTACCCGGTGCTTTCCCTGATTTCAATTGTTTAATTGCTATCACAATTTCCTCTTTAGTAATTAAGCCATTAATTTCGTGTTTCTGATCCTCTGTCAATTTGGGAAAACTAGCCTCGCTTAAGTATTTGTTTATATCTAAGATTTGCACATTAGTAGATTTGTATAGTTTTTGATAATAGTCTAAAAAGGATTTCTTAATCAATTCCTTCTGAAAAACTAATTTACCCTTATAATTTATTTTATCTAATATTCTCTGTTTCTTTCTTAATTGATAGGCCAACCATCTCCCTGGTTTATTGGCATTACAAAATGTATTTTGTTTCATAAACAATAAGTTAGTTGCAGCTTGATCCGCCAGCAACATATTAAATTGTGTTCTTAACAACTTTATAGATTCTTTAATGCTTTCATCTAAAGGATTTAAAATCAAAGACTTTTCTTTTAATTTAATTTCATCTTCCAATTCTTTACGTTTCTGAGTCTGCTTTTGCTTATGAAAGTTATTCATTTTTATCAAGATCCCACGCATAAATGCTTTACCTGCATCCCATACCATTGACATTGAAGTCCCCTTATACATATTTAAAGCAAAATAATCCTTTAAACACTCCTTTAACTTTTGAACATTCTTTTCTTGTCTGAATAAGTTTTCATTCACCCTCCAGGATCTTCTCTCCTCTTTTTCTTGAATCAGCTCCATCCAAACTGGACTATGATCCGTCAACGATCTAGGAAAAATCTTTACATTCTTTACTCTATTGTATAAGTCCGTTGTAATCAAAAAGAAGTCAATTCTTGAAAAGGATTGGTGTCTATCTGAAGAAAAGGTAAAGTCTCTCTCCTCTTGATTACATTCCCGCCAGTAATCCCTTAATTCCCAATCCTCCTTCATGTCAAAAAAAGCTTTAGGTAATTTTGCCTGTTTAAAAAGAGGAGAAGAACCTTTCTTATCCCTTTGTATATCTAAGACACCATTCCAATCACCCATTAGTACCACGGATCTATAGTCCAGCAAAGTTATTTTTTATGTAACAATCTATAAAATTGTTCCTGTTGCTGATTTGGTGCATATAGTCCCACTATAAGTATTTTCTTACCATATAAACCAAGTTCAATCATCACATATCTTCCTTGGGGATCTGATTCTACCAGACAAGCTGGTAAATTTTGCTTCACATAGATAACCACTCCCCCCTTTTTCCCAGGAGCAGAAGATACAAAATGAGATCCCAGACAGGCGTTAACTAAATACTTCTGATCTTTAAGTAAAATATGTAGTAGGTTGTGGTTTACAGTCCATGTGTGAGGTTTTCAGACCATGAGTGACCGTGTAAAAGCTTCCAGGTCCAAATATTTCACATTACTAATTCTCTATCATACATTATCTTCAGATTTTACAGTATAGACACAATTATACATCACAAGCTAGAAAATGGGCTTTGCAGTATGGAAAACGTAGGAAGAAAGAAATTAAGCAGAGATGGTTGAAATATGGGAAGCATTTCCAGGTGAGATGGGCAGCATATAGGTTGAAAACTAACAAACAAATATTTGATGCTTGCAGAAAACAGAATTGCTACAAAACAAGGTTGCTGCAGAAATAAGATAATACAAAGCCTGATTCTTGCATATAAACTATACTTATCTTGCTTTCCAAACTTTCTGACAGATCCCCTTTTTGGATGCCCTGCCATTCTGGTAGAGGGGGGGAGGAGGCTGTTTTAGGAGAGCATTCTTTGCATACTTGCACTTTTGCTTTAACACTGTGGCTGCTTGGAATTAGGGAGGAGGATCATCTTCAGAGATGGAATGGACTCTTTCCCAGCCGGTTCCAGCCTGACTCCAAGATCACTTTGCCCTGAAGATGAACCGTTATCTATCTTGTGCTTCAGTGTTCTCAAAACCACCCACCCTGGGGCACTGTATTGGCTGCCGATGGACTGGTCATGGGGGAGGGCTTGGGTTTTAAAGTGGGAAGAATAGCTTGTTGCTTTGCTGTCAGATTCCACTTGGCTTTATTGCAACCACTGTTTCTCAGTAAATGTTTTTTTTTAAAAAAAAAATAACCACATGACGTCAAGAGTTGTGCTTTCCTGAGAGGGACAGTTGGGGCAGATCCCTACACTTTCTAAACTTTCATTAAATCAACATTTGCCTCCAGATTTGTTTAAAATGTTGACTGAAATCTTGGTATCATAGGGCTGTAAGGAACCCTAGGTGTTCTAGTTCAGGGGTAGGCAACCTTGGCTCTTTCATGACTCGTGGACTTCAACTCCCAGAATTCCTGAGCCAGCATGGCTCAGCTTGGAAATCTCTCCCTTTCCCCTCAGCACGACTGGTTCAGGAATTCTGGGAGTTGAAGTCCATGAGTCATAAAAGAGCCAAGGTTGCCTATCCCTGTTCTAGTTCAATCCCCTGCCCAAGGCAGGAGATCTTATTTCATCTGGACAAATGGCTATCTAATCTATTTTTTGAAGACCTCCAGGGATGGAGCATCCACAAATCTAGGAGGCAAGCTTTTTCACCAGTTAATTGTTCTTAACTGTCAGAGAATTTCTCCTTAGTTTTCCAGGCTGGATCTCTCTTTAATGAGATTCTGTCCATTGCTTCTTGTCCTGCCCTCAGGAGCCTTGGAGAATAGGTTGACCCCGTCCTCCTTGTGACAGCCATCATTGAGCCAACAATTACTATATCTACTGGATATTAGCAAAGGGTTTCCTAAAGACGTCTATTTTTTCTGTCTCATTCAAGGGCATTGTTTTCAGTAGCCTATTCATCTGTACTTACCTGTCGTTGCAACAACCGACCACATACTGTGACAGCACAGAAATCTAGATCTTGCTGGAGGTTTTCCAAGGAGACTGCTCTGATATGATTTTCTCCGTATGACCTAAATGTCATAAATTTCTGGGATAATTTTTTTTTTTTTTTTTTTTTTGCTTTAGTTTTACAAATCCTAGATGTAAAACAGGACTATCACATTTTGGTCAAGGAACACAGTTGGATTAACTAGCAAAGTTCTAGAAGCTGTAGAAAAAAGGAATTAATATGTAGAAAAAAGATAAGCAAGCAATAATTTTTGGCAGTTAAATAAAGCATCAAACCTGGAGCAGGAAATCTAATATCTACACCCTCTATATATTACAGTTCCCATCATCCCTCTTTCATTGGCTTCATCTACTAGGTATGATGGAAGTTGAAGCCCAAAATATCTGAAGAGCATCAGGTATATCACCTACTCCTATGATTACTGATCACCTCCAAGAGCATCACTTGCTCTTATGATGACTGATGTGAAATACCTGGCAATTGTGATGTCACCATGATGAAGTCAAGCTGCATCCATGGCAATGGAATTGGTTTCTAGAGGGATCAACTGCCAATGTGATTTTGATCCTTGATTCAGACTAACCTCAAAATGAATGATCCTGCTTCAAAACCTCTTCTGATTGAGACAATGAAGGCACTATAGATGGGGATATCTGGAATTAATACCTCTATCTGTTACCAGAAGAATTGATCACCCTACTAATCCATGAAAATATCCCAGTAATAGAGTGTGGGTGGATAGTCTGATGATACCTTCTTTCTTAGACTTGCCAATCCTCAACAAGATGGCTCCAGAAAAATGATCTCCATAAGTTCAGAGGGACTGAGAGGTAACTACATACAAAATATTTGCTTCTATTATTCCCATTGCTTTACCAAATGTAGTAATTGCAATATACAATTACTGGCCTAAGTGTGCATTATGGGAATTGAAACTCCACACATCTGGAGGATGTCAAATTGGGACCAGCTGCCTCACAGATGGCTGACTAAGAGTACTTTACAAGCAGCACGATAATGATACAAGAACATTTAATTTTATTTGGAAATAGCTGTCTACCAGCATCTGGAAATCAATAACTTCTTCATTAGAATGCGGTATCTGTAGCTTTTTTAACAGCCAAAGATAATCCTGGGTTTTTTTGCAAGGGTTTGAAGAAAGGTCTAGTCAGCCATCAAACTTTGAGAAATATATAAACAGAAGAGATGACAGCAATGATGGGGAAATCAAAGGTCTGTGCAGTTTAGTTCTATTCCTTTTTGCTGAACAGTTAAATCCTTTGAAACATTTTGTTCTGGCCTACAACTGTGACAATAGCCAGTGGGAGCAGATGGGCTCAACAAAAAGAAAGCATTTAGTAATTACAATTTATCCCTTGAGAAGGAGGGAAACAAAAAGAGCTAGTGCTGGTTTAATTTGTAATTATAAATATGGGAAATACAAACCTCATATTGACTATCTTAGAGGGTGGGCTTTGAGATAAAGGCCATCCAAAATGTAGCCTGAATTGAGTTGCTTGCAAGATATCACCTTACGATTAGATTATTGTACTGGTAAAATGCCACAGTTTAAAATGGACTTTCTTTTAATATGTTGGGAACTGTAAAGAAAAGCAAATGTTAGATATTTCAAAGTCAACTTCAAACCCATTTTTATAATCTATGTTGTGGATGATTTTGAGTTGTTGTGTTGTTGCAGACAATTTCCTTGCAGAGTGATTAAATATATGTGTAGGGCAGGGTTCTTCAGACTTGGCCCTTTTATGACTTGTGGACATCAACTCCCAGAATTCCTCAGCCAGGCACGCTGGCTGACGAATTCTGGGGGTTGATGTCCACAAGTCATAAAAGGGCCAAGTTGGAAGACCCCTGGTGTAGGGCATCTCTTTTATCCACAATATACTAACCCTCATCATCTCCATATGGAGGGGGATACAACAGTGGCCCCCAACCTTTTGGGCACCAGGGACCACTTTCGTAGAGAAAGGTTTTTCTGTGGACCGGAGGGGGCATAATTTCGTGTGCTGCCTGCATCCCATGGCTTTGCTTGAGTGTGTGGCCAGGTTTATGGCATGCCACGGACCGGGACTGGTTCATGGACCAAGGGTTGGGGACCTCTGGGATATATGAAGGAAGGAGTAGCACACAAATTACTTATCCCACTACAGGCAGATAGACTTTCTTATAAATATGACTAAAGTGGCTCTGAATGTCATGTTTGCTCATTTGTTAAATCCTGAAAAAAAAAACCTAATGTGGCTCTACAATAGGAAAATGGGTTGTGAAAAGTAATTGTGTTCATTCCCTGAGCTCTACAGATAAACCAAGGCATTGTCAGCATCACCAAGAAATAATGCTAGGAAATCTTAAGTGCATTTAGGAAACCATCCAGATCCATCAGATACCTAGGCTGCATCATTTTAAATGGTCCTCCATCCCTTCAGAAATATCTATGGCAGTCAGATGAATGCTGAGCTGAGAAAGGTCTGTCTATAACAAAAGAGTTATAAAGATCTCTAGTATCTCCAGGTTATCAATGCTACTCAAAGAGAAACTCAGTTCCAACCTGTGTCCTGCTGCGTGTGTAAGGCCAGCTAGCAAAGGTTCATGGCTGTTATGGAGAACTTGATGTCCTATGTACAACTTAGGATATTGAAATCCTCCAGAACAAGAAACCTAGATAAATACAATTTCAAAATTAAGATATCCCCAGCTCTCTTGGGAAAAGGGCTGCTAGGCAGTAGGATAGATATTATATAAACAGTCCTAATGCAATTTTGTCCATTCAACGGCAGCACAATGCACTCAAAATTGGCAGAATGATAACTGGAGCAATCTGATCAGTGAGATGAAATATGTTTAAATCGTTTCACTCTCCATTCCTGCTCTGTGGGAGAGATAAGTCTTTCCTGTCATGTCACATGCCAGGGTTTTCCCATGTTAACATTTGGAAAATAGATATTTTAACCAGTGGTGGGATTCAAGCATGTGAACAACTGGTTTTCTGTGTGGATGCCACTTCCGGAAGTCCCTTCTGGGCCTGGGCAACAAAAAATTAGCTACCAGTTCTGCCAAAGTGGTGTGAACCGGCTGAATCCCACCACTGATTTTAACCCACAACTGTTAGAGGCATTACACAGCAGGATTTTGAGCTTGGAAGGTCCATCACTATTGGCACTCTGATCTGGCTAGGCTGCAACTTGGAGGAAGAAAGGTCTGTGGTCATTTTTTCTGAACAACAATCAGATGGCAGCTTCCTATATATTATCGTCTGCTGGTCACAATATTATTGCTTGCTGCCAGGATGATGGATTTGAATTTCATGAAAAGATGGACTAAATTGAAAGTTTGTCCAGGATACAATATGAGCTTCTGCTACATAGAAATACATAATAAAGCCCTGATCTTCTTTGTTGCTAATATTTTTCCCCTTCTTTAGGACACACATCTTGTGAAGAAGGTTTTGTGTGTGCTGTACTCTTCTTCTTCTTTTTCTTAGCTTCATAAGCCTGGATGCCCCTCATTTCAAAGGGTCCTGCATTCCTTCGTATCTTTTGCTACACAATGAGACTTTCTGCCATTCATTCTTCTCATTATCTCACTCTGCAGCTCAGTGGCTGAAGTAGACCAATTCATTTGACAGGCTCTGTTCTGCACTGTGTATTCCCTTTTGCTACTGCCTTGCTAAGGAGCCTTGTAGAAACAAATTTCTTACAAAGTTGAGATAAAGAAAACAGATTTATGCAACAGCTGTCCTGATATGCAGAAAAGGGCATTGGTCACTTTTAACTTTCTCTGAGTAATAAATATTTTTTTCTCTCCTCAACTTAAAAGCATACTGTAACAAGTGGTGTAAAAAAAAGCTTTACAAAGGAAAACTCTACTGGAGGTCAAGCACAGCAGTGTATTTCATAAATATCAGAAATTATATTAAAACTTTTGAACAGCTAGCCAAACTGAAAAGTTCTAGTCTCTTGCTGGTTTATAATCTTATTCTGCAGTCTGTGTGCTTTGGGATGGTTTAATTGTTATTTGTTGGATACAGAGGTGACAAGAAAAGGTCACAGCAACTCAAGAAGTACAAAAAGTCATACATTTAAAAAGGAATTATTCTTGTGCCTACAAAGAGTGATTGAGTAGAGATAGATGGATCAGTACAAATCCATTTTAGATTAGTGTTCAGACTAGGGATATATTTTATTCAATTTTTTTCTATGCATTTCTTTTAATTCAGTCTGTTGTTTGTGACTTTCCTCTGAAACATAAAGCTTTTGCACAAAACAGTCTGTTTTAATGTACATTTCCACATAATTAAAACATGAAGTATTTAAGCATTTAAATAGTATATACTAATTAATGGATATGCTAATGGACATTTCTTTCATGAATATTTTTTAAAAATAAAAATACCCTTGATTATGAACTTGTAAAGGTAATATGTCCTCAGCCCCTACCCAAAATTGTTTCAGATACATATTTCATAGGGCAGTTTTTGTCCAAAGAATGGTAGGTGACAGAAAAGTCCATTACTACCCTTCATGCCAGAGTGAATCTAGTCCATGTGGAGTTGGGCAAACTACTTGACATTGAAACAGGCCATTATAAAGGCTCAGAACTTTAAGGCTTCAGTGACACAAGATGAAGCACATTCAACTGATAGCTAAAAAAGCCAAGTGTAACCAAACACCCCTGCCCATAATCAGAACTGAGAGAATAGGAGTCGAATCCATTGTAAATCCTCCATATAGAAAGTGAGCATCTAGAATGAAATGATAGCAGTCATGATTGAGAAATAACAGCAAGGAGACCCAGAAAGCTGTTTCTCACATGCAATACAGCCAAAGTAAGCTTAACTTTTCTTGGAAGTTGATACTGTTGATACAGTGGCAGAGGATCATTAGGATTACAGCTAGTGCTTCTTCAATTTTATATGGACATGGCAGAAATTAAAGTTGGGATTTATCGCTTGGTCTCCAGCATTGTGATAACCTTCACCTGTTCAATTCTCTTACGACTTACAATCATCTAGAGAGGCTTTCTCCCTTATCAATAGTCTTCATATTTATCTACTTTGTTCAGAAGATCTCCAGGCCCTCTAAAGAGGATTTTTGGAGGAAGAAAAGGACAAGGAGGAACAAGGTTGGTTCTGCTCCACCAGGAATCTCAGGCTCCAAAGGAAAGTGTAAAAGCACTTGAATTATATTGTACTTCTACCACCATCTTCACAGGAATGAACCCCTAAGATTATATAATTGATATTACCATAGTTCAATTATGTCGATGTGTAATTCAAGACAATTATATTCAAGATATCCTGAAGAGATATATAACCCAGACTCAACCTATTGTTTTTCTTATTATTCCTTAAAATGTATTAATTTTGTTCCATCTCTGAGAAGATAAGCTGATATCTCAAAGATATCTGCAGGGTATGGGAAAAAAGTCAAGACAGTCACCACAACAATGTGATTAAAACTTCACCTCTTTTTTGGTGGCACAGAGAACACACATTTTTTAAAAAAACATTTTTGGTATAGTGTGTGGACCCTTCCCTTAAATGTCATCTTCATATGTTCATAGATAGTCATTGAAAATACTCAGTGAGCCAAGGTAAATGCTTCAGGGCAGTAGTGGGATTCAGCCAATTCGCACCAGTTTGGGAGAACCGGTAGCTAAATGTTGTTGAGTTCGGAGAACCGGCTGAACCTACATTGCTTCTGGAAGCCATTCTAGGCCTTGGAGGCCTGGAGGAGGCCTCCCAGGCCTAGAACGGCCCACAGGAAGTGCATGGATGTCACTTCTGGAAGTCCATTCTAGGCCTTGGAGTACC